ATACCTGTTACCCTAATGGGGCCAGTGTCATTTTTAGAAGGAACTAGATAAGATGGCTTGAAGTCAGGGAAAGCAAACAAGTGATCCCTTGGGTACCTCCCAGTCTGTTGCCAAGACTTAGAATAAATGCATTGATAGGGACCAACTCCCTTAGTTTAAGGAGTTGCCAATTAGTAACCTTTTGTTCAGGGAGGGACCTCACCACACCAATGGCTCTGTCATTGTCTATTGGAGGAGCCCTGTGAGGCTTTATCAAGGACAAAGGGAGCAAACTGATGGAAACACATGGACAGATTGCTACAAAAGCAGCCAGGCACACAGGATGGCTCAGGAAGGGACCTTGCCCTTGGCCAAGATGCTTTGACTCCTTTCTGGGAGGCAGATAAAACAGTCACTGGAGCCCAAGCCCTCCCACTCTTCATTTGCAAACTAAAATGCTTTTAGGCATCTTCCTTAGATAAGTGTTTTTGTGAGTGCTTGTTACTTTCAGGATAAAATGAACAATAGCTACTGTTCCCTCTAAGGCCTGCTGGAGGACAGGCCCCTCTAAGCTGTTCTCCCTATGAATTTCTACCTTAGAACCACAGAAATGCTGGGTGTTTCACCAAGCCTCAAGTCTTTCCAAAGTCACTTTAGTAAGGCGTACTCTACTTAAAACTGTAGCATGCCCTCATCTCTACTCCACATTCCCAAGTTCTCAGCACAGCCCTTACCATCTTTAAATATGCTACATGACTTACCTATTAAGTATGTCTGTTTATAATCTGACATTCTTCTACCTCACAAGGAGGAAATTCACAGGATGGGTTTTTTTTTTTTTTGTCATTTATGCTTTTTTTGGATTCCCTAGGGCCTACAACAGAGCCTAGATCATTAATACAATGCACAATATATCTATCATATATCATCATTCATTTAACTAATCTCCTGGCGGACACTTAAGTCGTTGCCAAATATTTCCTGTTGTAAACACACTGTGGGTGAACATCCTTGGGCAAATATTTTTGCATATCTGTGCTTGGATAGGGTCAATTCTTCCATGCAGAATTAAGTCAAAAGGTATGAAGAGTCTAGCTATTAATAGATACTGCCAATAGCTCTTCCAGAAAGACTGTGTGCATTTATACTCCCACCAACTGTGTGCATTTATACTCCCACCAACTGTGTATAAGAGGTCTCAATTAAGATTGATAAAATTGGGGTGGGAGTGAGGAGGATCCAGACTCCTCTAAATTGCTGAACTGCTAGTATTTGCAAATGTTGACTCTTAACGTTAAAGAGACAGAAAATTTCATCTCATTCTCATCCAACTCCTCTCCCAAGGCTGCAACCCTCTTCAATTCTTTTCTTGTCAGGTACTGGGGTCAAACTCCCCATCCTTGTTTTTTAGGATAAATTGCCACTGACCGAGATCTTGTTACTTCCAGTAAGTTCATTACATCACTGGGTCAAAATCTGCTTTCCTGCAACCCACTCCACCTAGTCTAGTTCTGTTTCAAAAGCAATAGAAAACAGGGCTAATCCTTTTCTATATGACAGCCCCTAAAATATTTGAAGACTGTATCAAATCTCCTCTTAGTCTTAAACCTCCCCAGCTCCACTTAGACACACCCCTGGAGGTAAAAGTGTTCACCTGCAGGCCCTTCACCTCAGTGGCCAACCATGAGCTTTAGGGTCCCCCAGGCCTGGCTTCAAGTTCTTGTTCCCACACTCTCCATCTGTCTGACCTTGGTCAAGTCACTTCTCAGACCTTAATTTCCTCGAATAAATTGTGTAACAATAGTATCCACCTTGTAGAGTTGCTGGTCAGGCCACATTTCTCCATAAAAAAAAAAAAAAATCTCAAAGTACATTATATGATTGTGTTGCTAAAAAGGTGACTATAATAAAGGCAGGGTTATATTTATTTATTTTTTCTCATTTTAAAAGAATTAAAACCTTTCAATGGAGTCCCAAAAGCATCATGGGCCTGAGGCACTGTGCCTTCTGTAACTGATGGTTACATAGGTTCTGTTTGCTGGGAGGAATAAAAAGACAAATCAGGCCAAGTATATTAAATACTTAGTATAGCACAGGGCGTGGCTTTTAGAAAACAATAAATGATGATCGAAAATTAAAAAAAGAGAGAACAGAGTGTAACACAGGAGAACATCTCCCCAGATATCTCTCCCCATCAGCACTTGTGAGATTTGCAGACTTAGCTTCTCCTGAATGAAAGGAACACAGCCACCGAGCCCACGTTTTCTCACATTGCCAGCAAGAGTCTTGGGAGAGGTTTTGTCAAAAAGATATACGGTCTGTGTATGGCATTTATTTTGAGAGGAGAGGTGTCTTGGTCTGCTCAGGCTCCTGTAACAAAATACCATAGACTGGGTGGCTTAGCAACAACAGAAATTTATTTCTCACAGTTCTGAAGGCTGACAGCCCAAGACCAAGGCGCCAACATGGCTGTGCTCTGGTGAGGACCCCCTTCCTGGTTCATAGCCAGCGCCTTCTCCCTGTGTCCTCACACGGTGGAAGGGGCAAGGGAGCTAGCTTTCTGGGGTGTCTTTTACAAGGGCACTAAATGCATTCATTTGCCCCCATGACCTAATCACCTCCCAAAGGCCCCAGCCCCTAACACCATCACACTGAGTGTTAGTATTTCAACATATGAAACTGAGGGGGGAGGAGACACAAACATTCAGACCCTACCAAGAGGAAATATACATTACAAGCATGTATATGAAGAATTCTAGAAGGACTGACCAAGAGACTAGTAACACCAGTGACCTCTTGGAGAGGGTTAGGAATACGGGAATGGACACAGGAGTAGGAAAGAGATTTCCCCTTGTGTATCTTCTTATAGTTTTTTTTCTTTTTTTGTTTTATGTATTTGTTTTTTCTTGTTTTCTTGATTTATCTTCTTATAGTTTCGATGACCGAACAATGATGATATAATACTGGTTTTAAAAATCTTAATGATTTTTATTATGAAAAAAATATATGCACATGGTTTAAAAAAATCCACACCGTTCAAAAGCTTGGGAATCTCACCATTCCTAGGTCCTCCCTCATTTAATTCTCCTGTTTTTAGTTCCATGACTTACTCCACCCTCTATTATGCCCCTTCCCAAATATCAGCTCTCTAAAACTTCCTATCATAGGCTGTGACTGAGAAAGATATAGTCACCTGCTTTGTGGGGCGGGAAGAGTCTAACCTTTCCTGATGCTGACGTCCATGCAACTCCCCACAGCCTCCACAGGTAACTGGCTTTTTCAGTTTCTCAGACAATAATCTTCTATGGTGGGATTTCACTTAGTTCTTATTGGCCTGCATCTCTGTAGTCTGCTAGTCCACTCGCCACCTGCTTTCTATCTGCTAAAATTTTGCTGGCATCCTTCCTGCGACGTCATTTCCTCTCCCATTTCCCTTTTCCTCATTAATTTTCTTATTATTTCTTATTCCTCGATGGTCCCTTCAGGGAGATTATGGGAGGGAGCAGAAATAAAGTGTGTTCAATCTGCCACGCCTCCCTGGCGTCATGAGCGTTCTCCTATTCATCAGACATACACCAGCATCACCGTTTCTGGTGACTGCGTAGTGTCCCCTTATGGGAATGGATCCCCCCAGAGGACATATGGCCATATCTGTTTTGGGTTGTCACAATGCAGAGTGAGGTGGGATATTCCTGGCAACTAGTGAGTGGACGACAGGGATGCTGCCAAACAGCCTGCAATGCTGGGGACAGCCCCTACCACCAGGAATGATCTGGGCCAAATGTCAATAGGGTGGAGATTGAGAAACTCTCCTAAAGGATTCTTATTGTCTTCTGAATAAAATTCAGACTCCATAGCACAGCCTATAAGACCCCAGCCTACATTTTCTACACTCCCCCGGCTCACCATGCTCCAGTCAAAAGCATCTTCTTTCTATTCCTGGAATACACTAAGTTCATTTCTGCCATGGGAACTTTGCACGGTTTCCTCAGCCTGATACTCTCTTTCTCAGATTTTTCTGGTCACTGACATCCTCAACATTCAGGCCTCAGCTCAAATGTCACTTTCTCTGTGAGACTTCCTTGACCAATGAATTGGTCCCTCTCCTGCCAAGGAACTTTCTATTACATTTATTGTGTTCTTCTAAATATCAACAAGTCCTGAAATTGGCTCTTTTTCTCCTTTGTTTATACTTATTACCAGGTGTCATGTCCATGAGAGCAGGGATCTCATCAGTCTTAATGCTGGGCATTTTACCTGGCATGCTGTTACTGCTTGGTTGATGGTCTTGTTTGCTGATCTTCAGTGATTCTACTTGTGTTTCTCCTAAAAGAATTTGTAAGAACTATGTGACCTTTCCTCGTACATTTCTAAGTTGACATCTAAAATTTGTTTATATATTGTAAGTTTAAATAGTGGCAGAGTCCAATTTCCCAGTCATTATAAATATTGATACTTTAGAATATAACTTTAACTTTACACTTTTAAATATACTTGCCATCCTTCATTCTAAAAAATCCAGGAGCATAACACACACGTTACGAAAATAAATGGAAAATCTTGTGCGAAGAATATACAAGAACAAGCTCTTAACCATTAGAAGTTTTATCTTAGTCTTTTTTCCCCCCTTGGACTTGTATTTTCATTCGACTTCCCTCACAGACTTCTAGCCTAATATGATATATTTGAAATTGTTTTAAAAGTTAATTAACTGATTGTAATTCTCTGTAATACAAATGCTTATATGAAGTTATGTATATATATATATTTAATAAGTTCTGATTCCCCAAGGCTCTAATTTTGAAGACCATCCCGTGATCATAAGGCTCTAAGTATTAAAAATTTTTCATTGATTTATCATTGCAATTATTAAAAATTTTTCATGATTTATCATTGCAATTATTATTTGAACATAGTTGATCAAAACAACATAAATACACTACACTGTGATCAATAATTGTTATACATTAAAAAGTATGTCTTATTCTAAATGAGTCTTTTAATGAAATGACTGGGGCTGGTTAATGTTTTGTATATTTGTTTTATATATTTATCAGTGTATGAATGTTTCTTATTGCTGGAATGGGACAAAGGTTAGAAAATATGTTATTCCTGTTTCTTGTTTTTATAGAAGTAAACACTGAGAAATGTTTTTCATATAAACAGCAGACTGGAATGGAAATTTTGTTACAGCTAAGTAACTCAAGGTCATACGTGTTTGAACTCCCATGCAATTTGCCACACATCACATTCTGATCCATTATCGGGAATCATTTGTAGGGATCAGTCACCTGACGAGTCATGTAGGGCCTTCTTCAAGTTGTTCGAAAGCAAGTTGGAAACCACCTGAACTGGAAAAAGATTTGTTATCCAAAGGCCGGCCCCTTTCCAAACCACATGCTGTTACGTCACACCACGCCTTTGCTGGGCATCCAGGGTTTTATAACCGCAACGCCGAACACCTTAGTAAGTTTTGAGATGAAGAGGAAAGTATTGCCTTACTTTTGTGAAGTGGAGGAAGGACATTTGTGAAGGAGGGGACACCTTGGACCTCAGGCACTTTTTCAGGCATGTCCGTTTTAGGAGAGAGAACACACCGGAGCTGAGATCTAAACAGATTCTCTCCCTTTCTCTTTTTTTGAGATATGATTCCATACAATAAAATGCATAAAGTAGCCACTCTGGTGAATTCTGACAAATGTATGTGCCTGTGTAGTGTCTGCCACATTCAATATACAGAAAGAAAGCTTTCTTTCCAGAAAATTCTCTCATGCCCCTTTGCTATCAATCCCCCTGTACCCCCAGTTCCAGGCAGCCACTGGTCTGCTTTCTGTCTCTATATACAGCATGTGGTCCTTTGCATGTGGTTCTTTTCACTCAGCATAATGATTCTGAGATGAATGTAAGGCATAGTTCCTTTTTCTTGCTGGGCTGTAGTCACTGTATGGATGTACTACAGTTTGTTTCTCGTTCACCTGTTGATGGAGATTTGGGTCGCTTCCAGGTTGGGGCTATTACGCATTATGCTGCTGTGCTCATCCAAGTGCAAGGCTTTGTGTGGATGTCCATTTTCATTTTTTCTCTTGGTGAAATACCTAAGAGCGGGTTAGATGGAAAGTCTACGTGGAAACAGAGCCTCTTAAAACTGTTCTGGCCAAGAGCACTTATTCTGGGAAGAATGTTTACTAACTTCTATCAAAGCAAGCCTTTAGAGCTAAAGTTTACAGAAAATACAGCGGACGGAAGAAACAATTAAACCATGCCAGTGAGGAAACAAAAGGAAGGATCCAGAACGTGGGACATTCAACTGTATAATTGGCTTGGTCTCTTCAACAAGACAATGTCATTAAAAAAAAAAAAAAAAGATGGCCGACTGTTCTAGATTAAAAGACCCTTAAAAGACAAAACAACTAAATGTAGTGCATGATCCCGAATTATGAGAAAATAAAAGTTGGATCAGACCGAGAGAGTGGGACTCAGCCCGGCCATTCTTCAGGCTAGAATAACGGACACCGATCAAGCTATCGGCAAAGGTACCAGGAAACACTTTTTCGAAGACACCCTGCCGCTGTCAAGTGCCATAGGGACTCCCTTTTCCAGAGCGGCCATTGCTTTCATATTTGCTTGGGCACTGTTCTCAAAAATCATGGATGGATAGAGACTTTGCAGTTTGAAATGATGTCGGTGTGAATGAAAGTTTTCTCGTGCCTGCGAGACCTAAGCCACTTGGGGACTGAGAAGCTGCTTCGATGGCCGACCCAAAGACAGAGCATCGGATAAGGGCTTTCTGAACCGAACGGTCCACGTTTATTTCACTCTGTAGTTTCAGTCCTAGCGGATGTGAACCCCTCCACTCACAGCCCTGTTTTGCTTCGAGCCTATCAAAACCCAGCTTTTAAATTTCACCTACACTTGACCCTTCCTCACATCCTATAATAGCCTGACTTTTTCCTTTGTTTGGTAAGGCATGCCATAATTGCTCTCCCTCTTTATAATGAGAGACTAAACCTGGCTTTGTCGGATGATTACAGGTTTGTTCCTGGCGGCCTTTTCTGATTGGGCTAAAACAGTCAGGTTCCATGAAAACATAAGCTTTTTTAAAAAATAACACTTTGGTGATATTGGGGAAATTTGAATATGAATTGAGTATTAGACAATATTAAGGAATTTTGTTAGGTGTGACGCTGGTATTGTGATTACGTAAGTGAATGTCGTTACCTTTTAGAGGTACTTACTGAAATAGTTAGGGGTAAATTGTCACAAAGTCTAATTACTTTGAAATGGTTACAAAAAAGTAAATTAATACATTTTACATGTGTAGATAAAGATGAAGAGATGTAAGTACTTTATGTTTAAAAGCATTTACAATGAAAACGTAAACAAAAATAAAAACAAAAACCCCATCCCTTGTAGCACTGTACGAAGGCCACCGGCCCTTGTGGTGTCAGCCTTTCTGGTCTTTAAGGAACCTGGTCCTATTAGTACAGTCCTGATGTCTCAGTTTCTCCTCTGTCAAAGACCTTCTTTGACGTTCTTATTGACGTGGCAGAAAAGGGTAGTGGCTCCTGGGTTCAATATCCATGTTGCCACCCACCAGCGGTGTGACCTTGAATGAGCCCTTAACCTCTGTGAGTCTAATCGTAGCCTCTAACTCTTAGGGTTCTGGTGGGCACGAAGTGAGGCCACACACATAGTGCCTGGCACAGCATGCGTACTCGGTAAACACTCACTGTTACTATTATTGGTGTAGTTGAAAGAAAGAATTGGAAACCGTCACATGAACTCAAAAAGAGCCTGAAGGCTTTGACTAGAAAGAAACGATAAAGGATTAATCAAGGGTATTAGGGTCTGCAAACTAGGAACACGTAGAGGCAATACCCAGAGTGTTTTGAAGAAGAGAGAAAAGCTAAGAGTTCTTACGGTAAACAGTACATTCTCGAGAAGAATGTGTCCTGTGTTCTTAGCCCCCGGATTGGTGTGAGATGCTCAACCCCTAGATGACCGGTGGTCTGGATCCTGAACGTCATGTGGTCTGGATAACGAACATTCTTTCCTTAGTCCTTCAGCGGGTAACCAGAGAGTTACCTGGAGGTCTGATGTATATCCAGGTATTGATGCAGGACGACTGGAAAGTTCAACCGTTGTAAGTTGGCTAGTTCAAACAAGAACAGACTTATTTCTTCATGTCTCGACCTACTTGATTTTAGGAATTTAGCAGTTTGACTGTAATGACTCCATTTTATTTGGTCCTCAGAACCATCTGATGGCTTATTGTGTTGCTTTTCTCTTCCCTGAGAATCCCTTAGAACTTTCCATCCAGAACATTTTCATCTTCCCAGACTGAAACTCTGCACCCATTCAACACCAACTCCCCATCTCGCTCCTCCCCGCAGCCCCTGGCAACCACCATTCTACTTCCGTCTCTATGAATCTGTCTACTCTACGGACCTCATATAAGTGGATTCATACAATCTTTGTCCTTTTGTGACTGTCTTATTTCACTTAGCATAATATCTTCAAGGTTCACCCTCATGGTAGCATGTGTCAAAATTTCTTTCTCTTTTAAGGCCGAATAATATTCCATTGTATGGAGATACCACGTTTTGTTTATCTATTAATCTGTCCGTGGACACTTGGGTCACTTCCAAACTCTTGGCCATCGTGAATAGTGCTGTTATGAAGATGGGTGTGCAAATACCTGTTTGAGTCCCTGCTTTCACTTCTTGCGGGTGTGCACCCCAAAATGGAATTGCTGGATCCTTTCCAGTAGGACTTCGTACTAAGCACAATGGGAGGCCATGGGAGCCTTTATGCAAGGGTGCTTTAATAGGACTCCTCTGGCTGCGTGTAGAGAGAGCTCTGACTGGTTGCAGCGGGGAGGGACAGGAATGGGAAGACCAGGGAGCATGCTGCTGTAGCAGTATAGGTGACACACGGCAGTAGCTGGGAGCTTCCGGTCTGGCTGGGAGGCCTATATGGAGCAAAGGGATAATTAAATGATTACAAAGAATATTAAGATCCACAGAATAAATGAACAGGAACAGGGTGCTATGATTCCAGGGAAAAATAAAAAGGGTCTCTCCGGCATTCTTACAATTCACTCAATAGTCTAACAAGGCTGGCAATGCCTTGAAATCCATATCCTGCATTTTCATCACCAATTATTTTGTTTGTTGTCATTTCATTGGGTTTGGCCCAGGGCCCAGAGCGGCTTGGTCAGAGGGTGTTCATTTTTTGTACTAGAGCCACAGATGGGGAGGAAGGGGATTGGAGGGAAGGGGAAGGGAGGGCCTTTGAGTCTGTGGCTGAAAGGGCAGCTCAGGGAGGGCTTGGCAGTTGAGAGCAGGGCTGGGTCTTGTCTCTGTCACATCCCAGCTATGGGATCTTGGACAAGTCACTTCCTCCCTCTAACCCCTCCGTTTCTGCTCCTGGAAAAAGGCATACTCATTTGTTTGGGCTAACCTCTGCTTCCTCCTTACGGAGACAGTGATCTTTGCTTTATCCTCTGCTGCGTCTACAGCACCTAATAGAGTGTCTGGCACATGGTCAGCCCCAATAAATATTTTTATTTGTTTATTTTTTATTTTAAATTTTTATATAAGGCCTAACGTTTATAAAATAACGTACGACAACCTTAAGCATCCAGCTCAATAAATTTTAAAACGTGTGTGTGTGTATAGAAACCATGTAACTACCACCAGGTCAAGTTCTAAAACATTTCTAGCTCTCCAGCAGGCTCTCTCGTACCCCTTCTTAATCATATCCCCTCCCCTCCGCCCGCCAAATGGCCAAACGTGACCATTATTCTGACTTCTATCAATATCTATTACTATTACCTGCTCTTGAACTTCATTTAAATGAAGTTCTGGTTTCTTTTGTTCCTTATGATGTTTTGTGGGCTACATCCGTATTGTTGCATGTGTTAATAATTTGATCCTTTTTAAAAAATTGCTGAGTAGTAATCTATCGTGTGAATGTGTCACAATTTATTCGTCCTTTTAACTAGTGATGGGCATTTAGGTTGTTTCTAGTTTTTGACTATTTTGAGTAAAGCCGTTCTGAACATTTTTTGTAGATGTCTTTTGATGGACATAAGCACTGTTTTCTCTTGGAAACGAGTGGAATTGCTGTGTCACCGGGTAGCTGTATGTTTAGCTTTAGTAGAAACTGCCGGACCATTTTCCAAAGCACTTGAACCAATTTACACTTCTACTAATAGAGTGTGAGCATTTCAGTTATTCCTTATCTTGGCCCAAACCTGACATTTCATTTCAGTCATTCTAGTGGGAGAGTGATGGTATTTCGCTGGGGTTTATTTGCATTTCCCTGATGACTAATGATGACGAGCACTTTTTCATATGCTTGCTCAATAAATATATGTTGAAAACAAGAATGAATAAAGAATTTGGATAAGAATAGAAAGAAAGCTGCCCCGTCTCGAGCTCAGCTTAGAACTTACCAGTACCAGTAGTCTCATTGTTCTTAGGGCCAAGCTGAAACCTCTCCCTTGGTCAACAAGATCCTGCATGCTCTGGCTTCTTCTGATCCCTCCTGCTTCTGCCTCTGAATTCCTTTCACCCAGATTGTCTTCAGGTTCCTCCAAGGACCTGCTCTGTCCTGCTTCACGGCTTTTCCTTAAGCTGTCTTCTTCAGCCTAGAACACAACCCAGGGCTCATGAAATCAGACTCATCACTTGTATCTCAACTCAAAAACCTTCCTCCTCCAGGAAGCCTTCCCTGACTTCTACCTCCAGCAGGCCAGGGCTCTTTTAGGCCCTCTTACTGCCCTTTTTTTCTTCCTAGCTTCTATCACAGATACCCTTTCTTTATGTCATTATTTGATTAACCTATTCCCCTACCATGAAAAAAAAAAAAACCACTTAAAAAACCCACAAGAAACCTCAACACTTTAAGCTCCATAAGAGCAGCAATCTCGTCTTGTTCTTAGCAAGACCTGGCCTATAGTAGATGCTCAATAAGTCTTTGTTGACGATACAAATGTCAAAGCAACAGCACAAGGAGTATTATCACCTGAAAGTAAGTATCCCTTGAATACTCACTCACCCTGAGGGGAACCTGGGCCAATAAAATATAGAAAACAATTCTCTCTCCTTCCCTCACCTTTGGTCCTTTGGGGATCTCAAATTCAAGCATTGTTTCTGTTGTAGTTGGCGCAGCTGGGGGTGGTGTGGGGGTGGGGGTGGTGTGTGTGTGTGTGTGTGTGTGTGTGTGTGTGTGTGTGTGTGTGTGTGTGTGTGTGTGTGTGTGTAATGGAAACTACACATCGGTACTTACTTCCACCCCGGGTTGTTGCAAGCATTACCGAGTTAATTCATGTTTATCGTTAAGAACAAAGCCTTAGGAAGCCCCATGACTGCGAAGGCCTGTTAATTATCACTATGTGTGCAGGCCTCAGTTTCTTTACCTCTACCGTGGGGATCAATAACCCAGTTATTTCCTGAGTGCTGCGCAAACAGGGTCGAGAAAATGACAAGGCGCTTTGCACATGTGTGGGGACCATAGCTGCCTCGGAGGGTGATTGGAGCCCGCAGGCCACGTGTGCTCCGGAGTCAGTTGATTGTGGGTTCGAATCCCACTTTCACTATTCGCCCCTGCCTGACCTCAAGCAAATCACTTCACCTCTCTGAGCCTCAGTTTCTCTAACAGATTAAGTGTATCCACCTCCTATGTTTCTGTGTCAGCCCTGCAATCAGCTGGCTGGGTTAGCCTGGTGACCCTGGAAAGGCCACTCAACCTGACTGTGCTGTTTTCCTCATGAAAGGGAAGTCGTAGAGGATCCAACGTGGACGCAGCTGGCATTTGGTGGGCTCCGGGCTCAAAGAGGGTTCAGGACCTGGGCTTTTCTCCTGGTGGTTATTATTACTGTTGATGCGGTCGTTGTTGTTGTTACAGTAGGATTCGAAAACTGGTCGCCGGGTCGGGACACTAAGACCCCGGCAGCTTCCGGAGG